TAGTTAAACTGGTTATTCCCTATCCTTCAAAAGAACTCATAAGGTCAGAGCTTCACTCTTTGGGAACACCCCTCAGATTGTATTTCACCAGCGCTGTGACTTTGGAGCAGGAGGGGTGGGGTAGTTTTTAACCTAGTTTTTCCAGCTCCTTTGCAAGAAGATTCAAACAAGCAGTGCTCAAGATTTTATTCTAGAGGACAGCTAAACCAATAAATTACAGTCAATGAAGAGTGAGGCACTGTTTTGTTTTAAAACAATGGTACTAGGGAAGGGAAGAAAAGCAGGATAGCAAGAAAAGAACTCCAACAATTCATTTCCTATTTTATTCTCTCACAGATGTTGGGTTAACTTCTACTTCAGACTACTTACCAACCCAACAGAACAAAGAAATGCCCCTCCCCCAGTTTTTTCAGTATTTTAGAGGCAGATCTTAGACAGTGGTATCAGCAGTTTATGCTAGAATTTAGTATCTTGAGATCATGGGATCTTAGCATTTGTGAGTTTGTAAAGCTGATTTGCTGTCCATATTTTCTGCTTATTTTTAAAAGTTTTTCTTATAACATTATGGCGAATTCTATAATGGAGTAAGAGCTCCAATGACATTTGAGAATTTGAACTGTGTATTTGTCGAAAATAAAATTACTGATAGTTTATAATGTACAAATCCTTTGATAATATTCTGATAAAACTATGCTATTTCTCCTATTTATGGCTGGCCTGTGAATCACATAAATTCAGAGAAATCATTTTTATGTCTTTATAACTGACTCCTCTTTTAAAAAGTAAATTACTGTATCAATGGTTTTCTCTCCTGAAGTAATGTTTCCAAAATTACTATCACCAATGTTGCTTTTGTTTTTTATTTAAATTTTGCCTGACTTACACATCTATTTTAAAATTATTTTTGGGAGACAGAGGCTCATTATATTGCTCAGACTGGTCTCAAACTCCTGGGCTCAAGCAATTCTCCTGCCTATCCTCCCAAAGAGCTTGGACTATAGGTCCACGCCACCGCACTCAACTATATAATCTGTTTTTAATAATGTATAATTGTATTGCAGGTGTGTCTCTTTTAAGCAGCAAGTTTTGGGGTTCTCATACCTTTGCTTTCTAAAAAAGGATTTCTGACTTAATACATTGAGTTTATTTTTATCTTGTTATTACTATTTCTTTTATCTACTGTAAAATGTTTGTAGATAGTCTCAGGCTTTATCTATTAAGCTTTTACAAACATTGTTCTATTATCTACAGAGGAGAAATCGAAAGTCACCTTGACTTTTGATGTCTTGTTATGTTTAAATGCTTTAGGAGTCTATCCTTTTTCTTGAAAACTTACTAAGATATACCTTAAAACTGGCCTCTTTTTATACATCTCGCCAAATTTTTTCTGTCATTTTTTTCTATAAACCAGATTATTATTACATCTTATCTATTTGTTCATTTCTTGAGTCTATGGCTCAAGGTTGTATTTTTATAAGCTATTAATATTTTCTATGCCAGATTTTTCATCTGTTTTAAAAATGCTTTCTATATTCTGATGGTGCTCCCACAGCAATTTCTTTCTTTTCCTCACTGTGATTTCATGTTATTGTATTATCAAGACTTTTTTCTTTCTTGTTACTGTATTGTATTGTTGGGCTCTATTCTTATACAAGGATTTCCTGTACCACTTCAAGTCCTTTGTGAAATAAGATATGAATAAATAAAAACTAAGTCATTGTTTCCTTTAAAAATTTCCTGCTAGCCAGGTACAGTGTTATGTATCTACTCATTAAGAAAACAAAATAGTACCAGAAGGATCCACATTGAACTAATGCATTGTGCAATGACCACCAAGATTCAATAAAAAAAAAAAAAAAAAAGACTGTTAGAATAAACGAAATCAGTAAAGTTCCAGGATACAAACACAAAAATTAGTTGTTTCTATATACTAATAAAGAACAATTCAGAAAAGGAAATTTAAAATAAACAATTCCCCATGTAATAGCATTGAAAAGAATAAAATATGTAGGAATAAACTTAACCAAGAAGGCTAAAGACTTGTTTGTACACTGAAAACTGCAAAATACTGCTGAAAGAAATTTTAAAAGACACAAATAAATGAAACAATAGCCTATGTTCATGAATTGGAAGACTTAATATTGCTAAGGAATCAATAATCCCCAAAGCAACCTATAGACTTAGTGCAATCCCTATGAAAATATCAATGACATTTTTTTCATAGAGATATAAAAATCTATCCTAAAATTCATATGGCATCTCAAAGAACCACAAATAGCCAAAACAATCTTAAAAAAGAAAAGGAAAGTTGGAGGAATCATACGTTCTGTGGAAAGTAGTAAAAATGTTAGACACAAAATTATCAAATTTTACCAAATGGGTAAAAATTATCATAAAAATACCATATAATCCAGCAACACCACTTCTGAGTATAGCTCCAAAAGAAGTGAATCAGGAACGCAAAGATTATTTGTACACTAATGTTCACAGCAACATTATTCATAATAGCCAAAAGGTGGAAATAACTCAAATATCTATCAATGGATTAATGAATAAATAAAACATGGTATGTACACACACACATACACACACACACACACACACACACACACGAATATTAGCCTTAAAAACAAACGAAATTCTGACACATGCTACAGCATAAGTAAACCTTGAAGACATTATGCTAAGTGAAATAAGCCAGTCAACAAAAGGATCAATACTATATGATTCCACTTATATAAGGTACTAGAATAGTCAAATGTAGAGACAGAAAATAGAATAGTGGTTGTCAGGGGCCAGAGGTAGGGAAAAGTGGGAATCATTATTTAATAGGTATAGTTTAGTTTGGGATGATGAAAAAGTTCTGAAAATGGATAGTAGTGATGACTGTACAACAACATGAATGTATATAAAGCCACTAAACTGTACACTAACAAGAGGCTAAAATAGTCAATTTTATGTTATACATACATTACCACAATAAAAAAAGAAGGAAAAGTAAAAAAATGTGAGGAACTTTTTGTTGTCCAACTGCAGAACTATGGCCTGGTGATAGCACTAAGAAGCTAGCAGAATTATAACCTTACTTTCTATCTCATGTCAAAGAGCACATTAAAATAAACCGCTTTGGACAAGTCCCTCAGGTCCCCTCCCACTGTGGGAGCTTTTCTGTCCTCTCAATAAATCCTGCTTTAAAAAAAAAAATACACACACACACACACACACACACACACACACACACCCCTTTTACTTAGTCTTCCCAGGGAAAATAAGTCATTGGAGAAAGCCATATAGAACTACAGAATTTTCCAAAATGAACTCTATCAAGATTAATTTATTGCCTTCTCGGTCAAAGTGCTTTAGGGTTGTAGATAAATGCCATTCAATTTCAACCCTTTTGTTAATGTAAAATTACCAAAAGACAACAAAAGTGTTTGACACAGGCAAGTCAGCCATACATGGAACAGACCAGACAGTCATGCAAACAATCTAACTTAAAGGGGTTCTACAAGAAATCTACTTAATTAGACCACAATGCTAAAAAGTTCTACCATTAGAATCATTCCTTTAGATTACTACATTTGTAAAAATGTAAATGTTCACAAAAAGGAAGGGATTATACATGTAAAAAAGAAACTTTTTTGTAAATTTAAGAAACAAAATGCCCTCAGTAAAAATGAACTGGCAATTAAGTATAATGAAGACTTAGATTCTCCTTTAAGGAAAACAGGAAAACAGTATATATAGAGATTAAGTACTAAAGGGGTTTAAATATTCAAACTGGCTGGGCTTGGTGGTTCATCCTGTAATCCCAGTACTTTGGGAGGCTGAGGCGAGTGGATTGCCTGAGCCCGTGAGTTTGAGACCAGCTTGGGCAGCTTGGTGAGACCTCATCTCTACAATAAATCAAAAACTAGCTGGGCATGGTAGCGCACGCCTATAGTTCTGGCTACTTGGAAGATTGAGGTGGAAGGATCACCGGAGCCCAGCAAGTCAACGCTGGGGTTGCCATGAGTGTGCCACTGCATTCCAGCCTGGATAACAGAGTGAGACTCCAACTCAAAAAAAAAAAAAGGGATTCAAACTACTGACACTTAAGGACTTACCTCTAATATCTGACTAGCTCTAAGGTGAGCGCCCATCAGCCTGAACCACCATAACCTGACTAGGAGACTCTGAAAGAATGCTAGCAGAAGTCTAAAAACAAATAGAAAAACAAGGGCATTTTTTCTTGATCTATAATTAACCACAGAGAAAATTTTAAAGTAACAAAAGTACTACCCAAGGGACACCTCGTCTATACTTATGTTTGATTATCAAACATTTATATTTGATATAATAGCCTTGTGGTAGATAATTAGTGGTAGAGTATTGTGTTCATTTTAAAAATTGCAGAGCTCCAGTCACGTGCAGTAGCTCATGCCTATAATCCCAGTTGCTCGGAAGGCTGAAATGGAACGATCACCTGAGCCCAGGAGTTTGAGGCAGCAGGGAGCTATTATCATGCCACTACATTCCAGCCTAGGGGACAGAGTAAGACCCCATTGCTTAAAAACACACACACAAACACACATACACACACACACACCAGATATATGTATATATGAAAAGTTAAAAAAAAAAGCTTTAAAAATAAATTTTATACTAATATATGAAAAGTTAAAAAAAGCTTCAAAAATAAATTTTATACTAATATATGAAAAGTTAAAAAAAAGTTTTAAAAATAAATTTTATACTAATATATAAAATTTATTTTTTTAAAGCTTTTTCAAAAAACTTTTCATATATACATACATCTGTGGGGTGTGTGTGTGTGTGTGTGTGCGTTTAAGCAATGGGGGCGGCCATTGCACTCCACTCTGGGCGACAGAGTGAGACTCCAACTCAAAAAAAAGAAAAAAGAAAAAGGTTTAAAAATAAATAAATAAATAAATTTTATAATACTGCTTAGCATTTTAAAAATTGCAATTAAGAAGTCTTATGGATTTTGATTTTCTTACCCTAAACTGGTCAAGAATTTGAAGGTTTTCCCATATTATTTTATCATTTTCAGTTTTTTTCCAAGGATCATTCCATTTTTGAGAAGCTTCTTTTTCTTTCTTCTTTAAAGCAACCTGTTCATCTGTAAATAATGTCCTTTTTAAAAAAATGTACAAAAACTGTAAAAGAAGAATCATGTAAACAAATCATGACCTCAAAGAATACAGATTCTAACACAGATCTCATCAAAACTCTTTTTCTTTTTTTTAGGTAGAAATTAACTTACAAAGAAGAGAGGAATTTTTAGGGATACAGAATAAAAAACAATTTATCAGAACCATACTTAAGTATGGTACAATGGATATAAACCAAAGTTTGTTTTTTAATCACAATATCAATACAAAGCAATGCTATCAGAATAACTTATTTTCTATTATGTTAATCATTCTGAGGTTCTACTTTCCTGTAATGTTCATTCAATTACAAAAATAACTAAAAGTAGCCGGGCTTGGTGGCTCAGCTTGTAATCCCGCGCCTTTGGGAGGCTGAGGTGAGTGGATTGCCTGAGCCCGCGGGTTCGAGACCCGCCTGGAAAAAATCAGCTGGGCGTGGCAGCGCACACCTGTAATTCCAGCTACTTGGAAGGCTGAGGCGGAAGGATCGCCAGAGCCTAGCAGGTGGAGGCTGTGGTGGCCGGGAGCAGTCACTGCACTCCAGTCTGGGCGACAGAGTGAGATTCCAACTCAAAGAAAAAAAAAATTAAAAGCTAGAACTCTGGAGTCAGAGAAACCTGGGGTCAAATTCAAGTTCAGCACCTTCTTAGCAATGGATGATGAGCAAACTGCTGTTAAGCTCTCTAAATATTGATTTCTTTTTCTGTAAAACAGGGATAACAGTGCCTATTTCAGTATAGCACCTGGCACAAAGTGAATATTAAATAAATATTAACTATTATTTCACATTAATTTTTGAAAAGCAAAAAACATAAAACCCTGTGTATAACAGACATAGTCAAAAGTAAACCCCAAATCAATAGTTCTTTATATATAAAATTTAGAGATGTTTAAGTCTAAATTTCACAAAAATAAATGGAAGCATGACTTCAAGAGATGTGCTTTGCTAACACAAGTAAAAAAAGTAAATTTTTTTTTTTTTTTAGGTTGGAGTCTCACTCTGTCACCCAGACTGGAGTGCAGTGGCCATTCCCGGCCACCGCAGCCTCGACCTGCTGGGCTCTGGCGATCCTTCCACCTCAGTCTTCCGAGTAGCCGGAATTACAGGTGCGCGCTACTACGCCCGGCTCATTTTTTGATTTATTGTAGAGATGAGGTCTCGCCTACCCAGGCAGGTATCGAACCCGCGAGCTTGGGCAATCCACTCACCTCAGCCTCCCAAAGGCGCGGGATTACAGGCTGAGCCACCAGGCCCGGCAGAAAATTGTTTTTTAAAACAACAATTAAAGTATAAGATATTTCAGTCATTTCCAAATAGTACCATCATATTTCAGAAACCTGATATTGGAATTTGATGCTAATTTGTGCTGAATGAAAATACTTAAATCTGAAACTGTGATATAAGCACACAACAGACCGCCAAACCTTCTGATATTGCTACCATAAATTTAATTTCTTCATTCTTCTGTTATCTTAATTCCAGCATAGATTTACTTTTTTCTGCTACTTATCTCTTTTTCTAAATTACCCATCCCAAGCAGGTTAGTGATTGCCCCACATACATGACTTTCTAGCTGAATGAAAGGCGAAGCCTATCTCATGCATAGTATAGCTATTCCTAAGAAATAATACTTTTTTTTTTTGCTTTTTTTTTTTGAGTTGGAGTCTCACTTTGTCACGCAGGGCCACTGCAGCCTCGACCTGCTGGGCTCCGGGGATCCTTCCGCCTCAGTCTTCCAAGTAGCTGGAACTACAGGCGCACGCTACCATACCTGGCTAATTTTTTTTATTTATTGCAGAGATGAGGTCTCACCAAGTTGTCCAGGCGGGTCTCGAACCTGCGGTCTCAGGCAATCCACTCACCTCAGCCTCTCAAAGCACGAGATTACAGGCTGAGTTACTGAACCCAGCTGAAATACAACTGTTACATCAAGCATTTCATAAACTGTGATACTTGGGGCCTAAGTCCAGTCTAAGAAGTAATGGGTATTTCTCGGTTATTAAGAAAACTTCAAGATGCTAACAGAAATTATACATTTTTCTATTGTAAGTTCCAGAATAGAACCACCTATATAAAATTAGCATAGGGCACAGGGTGAAAACTACAGAAGAGACCGGAGCCCTGAAAGGTACAGTTGTGGTTGAAAATTAACAAATATGCTGTTTCTAAGTTTGCTTTCACTTCAATAGAGACAATTAATTATCTTCATGTCCTGATCCCTGGGAGAGGCAGGGGAAGCTGCCTATGAGGCTGATAAACCTATTTTCTTTTAAACAATGAAGGCAAAATCACACTCATATCTCCTTGATAGCATCCTAAAGTTTGACAGGGGGAAGGGGAACTCACAGCTCTAATCTCCATCTCCTGCATACCTCTAAAATGGCTTACTGCCCAGGGGGATCAGAGGATGGTCAGGTGGGTCATGGGACTGGCTTTATAGATAGCTTCTTTAATTATAAAATGTAAGAATGATATTTGGGAAGTTTTTCAGACTTTATACCTCCAGGACCCCGGACAACCACCAAGGAGCTGGCTCCGCCAGTCCCGTAAACCTCTCCCAGAAACTGGCTCTGAGACGTGAAGACAGTTTCCACATGACTCATGATTTCATCCTCAACCAATCAGCAGTGCCCACTCCCTAGCACCTTGCCCACTAAATTATTCCTTAAGAAATCCTAGCCTAAGACTCTCAGGGAGGCAGATGTGAGAAATATCCCTTGTCTTCTTCACTCAGCTACTTCGTGATATTAAACTTTCTCTAATGTAACGGCACTATCAGTGTTGATTTTTCTGGGTATCAGGTATAAGAACGCAGTCAGGCTATAACAACAGGTTGACAGAAAGTAATAAGCTTACTTTTGTCTCGAATATATTGATATCATATTGATTATTCTTGATTAGAACATTTTGTTTGTTTTAAAAAATGAAATAAATTATTTTGTAGTAAAACCATTCTTATACCCACAGAACTTCCGTAATGTTAAAAATATGAAAAAGGATTCCCAGGAAATGAGATAAATTTAGAAATCTTTGAGTTACAGGGGCTCCAGAATGACACTAGTGACATTAATGCTTTTGGTGCACACCACAGAGTACCAAACAAAAAGATAAAATCTAAGGCAGAGCCGGGCTCGGTGGCTCAGCCTGTAATCCCACGCCTTTGGGAAGCTGAGGTGAGTGGATTGCCTGAGCCCGCGGGTTCGAGACCCACCTGGGCAGCGAGGCCTCATCTCTACAATAAATAAAAAAATCAGCCGGGCATGGTAGCGCATGCCTGTAATTCCGGCTACTCGGAAGGCTGAGGCGGAAGGATCACCGGAGCCCAGCAGGCAAGTCTGCGGTGGCCAGGAGCGGCCACTGCACTCCAGTCTGGGCAACCAAGTGAGACTACAACTCAAAAAAAAAAAATCTAAGGCAGTATGAAAACACAAAGTTTCTTATGCATTTGCAGAGAACTACGCTAGATGTCAAATATTATAAGACTTCTGATAATATCTTACTAAAAGATACATAATCAGCCCTCCATATCCATGGGTTCTGCATCTGTGGATTCAAATAACCACAGATCAAAAATATTTGGGGGAAAAAAATGGGTATTTACACCCATATTTAACATGCAGACTTTTTACCTTGTATTTATTATCTAAATAATACAATTGTAACAATTATTTATGTAGCATTTACATTGCATTAAGCATAATAAGTAGTCTAGAGATGATTTAAAGGACGTAGGAGGATGTGCATAGGTTATATGCAAACATTAAACCATTTTACATAAGTAACCTGAACATCTGGGCATTTTGGTATCTTGGGGAGAAGGGTTATCCTAGAACCAATCTCTCATAGACAGAGAGAATGACTACCCTTTAAAGAAAGCCAAAATATTTTATACCCAAGTATACTTCTTTGATTAATTTTTTGATGGCTATTCAGATGACTTGCAAACAAGTAGTCTTCCAAAGCTATCTTTTGCGGGAAACATTTTTACCTGTAGAGAAAATCTGCACTGATGCAGCCAAGCTTTCTCTGAGGCCTTCCTTTGTCTAGATCTAAGAAAGATTAGCTGAAAGGCTAACACCTTGAAAGGACTGAAAGAAATATTTATCACCTATTCTCTCTGATGGCTGTTAACCTGTGAGTTTTCATCTGTGTAACAAGACCACCTTTGCTGTTCAGGCCTCATCTTCTCTCCTCCCCCCGATATCCTGTTTTACCACACACTCCAAGCCCCTTCTTTCTGTAACCTCAACATGGTATAAAAAGCATCAAACATCTGGCCATTTCTTTGAATTCTTTTATTTTGTAAGACTCTTCTGCACATGAACAAATTCATATGCTTTTTCTCTTATTAATCTGCCTTTTGTTAGTTGATTTTTCAGTGAACCTTCAGAGGACAAAGGGGACGTTTTCCCTTGGCCTCTACAACTCAATATATATTATTTAAGCCAACAAAAATACAATAAAAGGTCTAAAAAATAACCTACCTAGCTCTTTCCTCCACTGGATTTTTTTGGCTTCCAACAAACTTCTATCACATTCCCTTTCCCCCAGAGTACTAAATATGTCAGCTGGTTTCCATTCATTCTCTCTAAGGCAAAACATACAAAAAACCAGAAAACTTATCATTATACATTTCTACACAATGGGCGCTATAAATATTTATCAGTAAGTTTTTAAAAAACTCTAAGTCTTCAGAGTAAATATTTCACATGCAAATAAAGGAAAAACAAAACTAAATCCAAGACAACCCCATGATAAAAGATATGAGTTACATACATGGCAATTTTCTGCTCACACGGCTTAGATGCCTCCTGGCTTTTATTTAAGATAGATTTATTTTCATTTGGGACACATGAAACAGCATCAGTTATTTGGAATAATCCCATAATGTTCTCGTCCTTTGGCTGAGCAGGAGTACTGTTTAAGGGTAGACTATACTGACCTACAAGGTAAAATGCATGTTTTAAAATCAACACTAAATCATCTTAATACTTGGCATACTGCTATGCCGTGTTTAAGTCTTATACATTACCTAATTTATTTCTTATACATTACCTAATTTAACTCTCACATCAATCCTTGAAGTGGTTATTATGTTTCCCTTTCTATCAAAGTAAAGGAAACTCAGGCCCAGAAGTTAAATGGTTTGCTCATGGGCATAGCCCTACAACTTACCTGTATCAAACAAGAAAACAAGCAACAGAAAAATCACCATTTACTCTTGCTAACATACTTTCACAAATAATACTAATTATAACACAAATCACAACCTAAAGAGGTATAAATGCAAACAGCTTAATAAAAAACTCATTACGGCCGGGCTAGGTGGCTCAGCCTGTAATCCCAACACTTTGGGAGGCTGAGGAGAGTGGACTGCCTGAGACCACAGATTCGAGACCCACCCTGGCAACTTGGCAAAACCTCATCTCTACAATAAATCAAAAAAATTAGCTGGGTGTGGTAGCACACCCCTGTAGTTCTGGCTACTTGGAAGGCTGAGGTGGAAGGATTGCTGGAGCCCAGCAGGTCAAGGCTGCTGTGGCTGGAAGTGTGCCACAGCACTCCAGTCTGGGCAATAGAGTGAAACTCCAACTCAAAACAACAACAAAAACCCAACAACAAAAACTCATTACCTTTACCTTATTTTTCTCACTTCGCTGTGGAATCAATGGAAAATTCGTTTCCCTGTGCCCTGGCTGTAACATCTAAACCCATTGTTTTATAGAGGGCTCATATGTCTGCTCAAAAATAGTTCGAATTCTTCCTGAATGTGCCAGTTCTCTCAATAAAAAGTATACCTAATATTCAGGCCATTACACGATTAGGCAAATTTTGCTTTTAACTTTGTTATCTCTCATGATGCCTAATAAGTTACCTTTTGTTCTCTGAGCTAGAATTTTAGCCTTAAGACAAAATCCAGCTCCTTCATTTTATAATAAATAATCTATACCAAGAGAGGATTTTTAAAAACTCCATCTTGAGTATCCTGGGAGTATATAAGAATTTCCTGGTCCCCAAACCAGTTGTGGGCCTTTGCACATGAACTGTTAATTTTTTTTTTTTTCACTAATGCCTAATGTAATTTTAGTATTTCTATGACCTTCATAGTCACAATTCCTTGTCTCAAAGTTGAAACTAGAAAGCTTTTTTTTTTTTTGAGTTTGAGTTTCTTTGTTGCCCAGGCTGGAGTACAGTGGCACATTCACAGCCACCGCAGTCTCGACCTGCTGGGCTCAGGAGATCCTTTAGCCTCAGTAGGGCTTTTTTTAAAGACCATAATACAACGCCTAGACATATGAAACAGAAAACATGTAACACTCTACTGCACCTTCCAAGTTTTGTGTTTAAAAAAAAAAACAGGCTAGGCGCAATGGCTCACGCCTATAATCCCAGCACTTTGGGAGGCCAAGGTTAGAGGACTGTCGATTGCCTGAGCCCATGGGTTCAACACCAGGCTGGGCAACCTGGTGAGCCCACATCTCTACAATAAATAAAAAAAGTAGCTGGGTGTGGAGGCGTGTGTTTGTAGATCCAGTTACTTGGAAGGATGAGGTGGAAGAATCACCTGAGCCCAGCATGTCAAGGCTGTGGTGGCTGTGAGTGTGCCACTGCACTTCAGCCTGGGCAACAGAGTGAGACTCCAACTCAAAAAATAAAACAAAACAAAAAACAAGAAAAAATACTGCCAATCCTTAGCATGGATTGAGGGACAGGAAGAGCAAATGCAAGGGTTAGAATGTCAATGCTCTTCATCAACTAAAGCCAAATATTCATACCAAGGTTCCCTTAATTTTTACTAGAAATACCACAGTGGGTTTTCTATTAAGAGCATTTTCTATAATTATTTTAATATAAGTAAGGCCTCTGACAATCTAAAATAAGTACAATTATTTTTCGTACTAACCTTTCTTCTAGAATCCAAAGACAAGATTCTTAAGACCATGGTGTATAAGAATATTCTAACCTTAAAATATGGCATATTATAACTATAAAAATAATTTTGCATATTAAAGTCCTCTAAAAGAATAATTATTTTAAGACTGTCATGTTAAATTAAAATTTAAGAGGCACAGTTACATAAAACCCAATGAATATGAAATTCCAAAACACATACTGAGAAAATTAATAGTCATTAAAACTTCAGAGAAAAGCTTACTTTTTTCTTCGTTCTTTCCATCCTCAGTCAGGGAAATAGGTCTATTTCCTTGGTTTACAGCCATCAAAATCTGTTGTAGTTGGTCTTGTGTTAAACACACCAAATTGCTCTCTACGTTTTCAGTTGTGATGTGTTTTTTGTGAGGCTTCTGTCTAGCTACTAAAGAAATATTTATGCTGTTTCCAGTTTTCTGAATGCTAGGGGTTGCAGGTGAAATCTCTTTCTGGACATGAAGATAGTCTTTATCTACATAATCTTTACATAAATCCTTAGTAGATGAAAAAGTCATTCTATTTTTTTCATCTTTTGCCTGTGAAGTTTCTGAACTAACTGTCTTCTTTTGTAAAAGCTTTTCACTCCCAATACAAGTATTTGGTGTTGATTTCATAATGTGTCCAGTCCTTGTTCTTAAAGGATATTTTGAAATCTTGGTCTTATTTCCCATCTGTTAAAACACCAGAAGCTTATTCTTCATAACAGTCCATGAAAAAAATCAATAACTAACTTTACTTATATAATATGTGATAAACTCATCCTCTAAATCTTTTTCCATTTTCCTATTTAGATAATATAAAAGATTAACTCTTTATACTTGCAAGTCTTCATTTGAAAACTTCATCAACAACTAGAAATTATTTTACTTCAGGATAATGAAGAACACAAAATAAATTTTATTATAGGTGTTACTGAACATCTCCATTCTACTTCAGTTCTGAATCTCATGTTATTAGACTATACCACTCACACTACCTTTTTTCTTTACACACATGTATAGACCCATAGAACTAGCTCAGGAGATATAAAGATTGTTGGTGATTAGACATGACAAACTTATACAAGCACAAATTTTTCAAAACTGTATGTTTCCTTGAAGTTTTCCACCCCAAAACAATGAAAAATCTATGTATCATTTGAAATCTATCAAGCTTCTGATCAATCATTTGAGAAGTGGTTTTCAGAAATCACAAGTGTGTCCTTCTACATCATCTTCAGACTATAAATTACATATTAACATGAGAAGAAGAAAACAAGACGGCACTGTTTGCTGGAACAGAAAAACACCAGGTGGAAGACATCAAACAAATTATTATTACGCAACACATCAATGAATCTGCAATGAAGGTCATTGACTCACACATTACCATACGTTAGAAAAATATAACATACAAAATTTTGATTTTTTTTTAGTCACAAATAAGTTTTTCAATGTCCAAAATTCCATTATAAGTCAGATATCATTGCAATAAAATAACTCGTTCCAATATTATACTATTTAACATAAAGTGATTCATTTTTCACTATTTCATAAGAAAGTGCAGTTGAGTTGCTAGTAGGTGATCCACTCTGAGTGCAAAGGGTTAGTAGCTCAAACAAGGCCTTCATGTCATAAAACATTTTTATATAGTGTGTTGTTATTTTACCTAGTTTTAACTTCACCATTATTTTTCCTATCATATAGACAATGTTCAATGCACTTATTTATATTAGCTGACTACAATTTATATGGAGTCAGGACCCCAAGAACAGAACAAATCAGAGAAAAGTAGCATTTTAAAATATAAAATGTGCTACCTAGCATTAATATTACATACATCCTTTAATATGTCACTGATTCTCATATGTAAAAATACTCACAAAACTTTAAAAAATGTTTTATATTTCAACTAATTTTTGAGACTATTTTAAGTATAAGAGTTTTAGAATCCATTATTTTTATAAATTACCTATGACACTGAATCACTGTATTTCTTTCATTTCTTTTCCCATAAGCCTAAGAAATTAGGCTGGTAACCATCTTTACCTCATAACTGCAGATTCAAGAAAAATGCAAGAGATTTTGATAGAATTAGGAAAGTACTCTGACCCCACATATGTTAAACTTGATGATGATATGCGGTTCGGCCGTGTTTAAATAATACACTAAACAGATGACAGTAATTCGACCAGTGTGAAATGGAGAAAGCAGAACTATAGATGTTAGGAGCTTAACCCAGCAGAAACAAAGAAGAAAAGCACTATGTAAACAGAATGTATGAATAACTTGCAGAAAAGAAAATTCAACCTAAAACTGAACTGTAAGATTTGGGAGATTTTTAAAAATGAATTAAAACAAAAGAGGAAACAATGTGCTTATCTTCTGTGAAGAGCAAAAAAGGAATGAGAAGGAGCTCTGCAATGCCTACAAATATGGAAAAAGAAGCTTCTTGAAAACAAACGATACAATGTTGCATCAGTATTTTGGAATATCAAAAATAATTTGCTTTAAGGTAAGCAACTTGAAATAGTAAGCAGCTGAGAACACACTAGATACTCTGAAAAAAAAAAAAACTAAAATACCACTAGACAGCTGATAGAATTTTGTAATGAAAAGTCCAAGCCTAGTCTTCAAAGTCCAAGACTAGTGACTTTATTATAGGCCAACCAAAAGTCCAAAACGAGTTGTTTATTATAAGCCTACAGGGGTATTAGATCTCCAGATGTTCTGAGTTGGTTCAAAAGACAATGAAATGTCTTCATAAATGTGGCTACTCTAACAAATCCATTAAGGACATCAATAGAAGAAGGAAGATGAGAAAGAGAATAGAGGTCTGGAGAAGAAAAAAACCTCAAGCATTACAAACAGCTTTTTTTTTTTTGAGTTGGAGTCTCACTCAGTTGCCCAGACTGGAGTGCAGTGGCCGCTCCCGGCCACCGCAACCTCGACCTGCTGGGCTCCGGCAATCCCTCCGCCTCAGTCTTCCAAGTAGCTGGAACTACAGGCACGCAATATCATGCCCGGCTAATTTTTGATTTATTGTAGAGATGAGGTCTCGTCAAATTGCCCAGGCGGGTCTCGAACCTGCGGGTTTAGGCAATTCACTCACCTCGGCCTCCCAAAGCGTGGGATTTCAGGTTGAGCCACCGAGCCCGGCACAAATAGCTTTTCATCTAGGAGTTTGAAAAAGGGCAATGTCAGTCGGGCTCAGAGGCTCAGCCTGTAATCCCGCGCCTTTGGGAGGCTGAGGTGAGTGGATTGCCTGAGCCCGCGGGTTCGAGACACGCCTGCGGAGCGAGACTTCATCTTTA